GAATGCGCTTAAGAGCAACTCCGTGCGGGGGTGGGTATGTGAGTGTAACTGTGCTGGAAGGAGAGGGGGGGGGGTTTGTAAGAGGAAGCGTGCAGCCTCTTTGGTTTTACATTTCACATTGTGTTTTATTATGACTTGAAACGCTTTGTTATTCCACCGTTGCAACGTAGCGACTGTGCGGCAGCATCATTTTTCAACTTGCGTCACGTGCCACACAAGCCACATGCGAGTGCAATTATATGTTGAAAACATTTATTTTCCACTGCTGCGTTTACTGTACGGCTGTTATTGTTGAATTTTTTGTTTTTCTTTCTTTCCAAATCTCCGCCATTGTTGCATGAACTAATGATTGTTATTGCAACAGCAAAATACTACAAGTGCTCTAAATGAAAAACTTGCATATATATTGAGATGTATGCAACGCTCAAGGGTTGTGGGCGTTCTTTGCATTGCTGCGGCCAATTTTGGCATTGCCTTGCCCTGACTGGCTGTCTAACTGTATTGCGGTCGGTTTCGCCTGTGCGTGGAATTAAATTTCAGGACGACACTAGAGGCGAGCTCATTTCCAATGAAAATTGTTAAGGAAGAGCTGAGTTCGTGAGGACGTTCCAAGGACGTGAGTGGATCTTGTAGTCCTTTAAATGTCAAATATTTTAACCAAACTTCAACTATAATATATTATGCACTAAATTACGGCGAGGCGTATAAGAGTAGTTATTCTTCTTAAGAGATGTAGACTACACGTATGAGCCAAATTGTTCCTTCATTTCGCTGCTCAAGGCCGATCGGGTAGTCCCAGGCAAGCCAAGTTATTTACCTAATATTTCCAACGTAGCATTGTCACCCTCTCCTAATTTACTGAACCACGTAGGTGTCGTTGAATATCTCATAAAACTCATCCTTAATCCTTGGTATTCGCTGTCGCTAACACATAAAGACTCAGAAAACTTCTGAATAATCTTCCTCTTGAAAAATCTTACGGCGAACACATCCGATGTTGTCGCTGTCCAAGACTCAGCTTAAAATCAGCAAGAGAGAAATGATGATGGCCAATAGTGCTACAGCTTTATACTCAGTCTAAAGTAAAAATTGTTGGCAAGAGTGTTTCTGAGTTGGACTTTAAGGGTTGTTCCAAGAAAGGTGACATTTTCTATGACCTCGAAGTTACGACTGTTGATTGTGAACTGCGATTGCGTTGCCTGTTTGGTAGATGAAAGGAAATATTACGTCCTATTCTCGTTCACAGCCAAAGAAATGCGCTGCGGTTCTATAGACAGGAGGGAAAAAACCGAGTTAACGACGCATATCATCAACAACCATTCTCTGTTAAGTTCGGTGGATCGTATTATTTTTTTCAGCATTAAGACACTTGATAAGAACTATCCTTATCTGAAGCTTTATTTGGTATCGAACGGCTCGTAGGGGTTTTTTTCGATCGGGCTGGTGTCTCTAAGCGTCAGTTACCAGATCCGTATTTATAAGTTTTGCGTAAGTCTCCGAAATTCAGGCAATAGGGACATAGAGAGCTGGTTTTGAACCATCTAAGGTCGCTTTAATATCGATAAAGAAGTGGTGTTTGTGCTGATATTAACCAAGTTTTCTCGTATGACGCGTATTTGGCTACTAAAGCCGTTAAACTCACTATTGAGGAGATCTATCTTACGATATTTACGTTTTAGTTCCAGTAGATTGTTTCCATTCTTAATTGTCTTGCTCTCGTTGGAGCGTCTGGTCCCAAGCTTTCTGTCTTCTGGTCTCGCCCTACAATACACTGTATCAATCCGTTGCTCTCAGTTCTAGATAAATAGTCTGGGTCCACCATTTTCTCTCTCAGGTATTGCAGCAGAAATGTGATTTCAGGAAACTTAGTCGGATTTCCGACTTTGATTTATTGACTTCTTCTTCTTAAACTGATGTAGACATCGCTATAGTCTACTACACAATTGCGGGCCAGTATTTTCTTCTTTAAGTCCTTCGGCGCTAAACTTCTGCTGCTTCTCCTCTTAAACCCACCAAAGGCGTAGATGTGTTCCTTTCCCTCGACTTCCACCAGCAGACACTCATTCATGCATACGTTCGGTTAACAAAGTTTTTATAGCTTTTTGGAAGCGTCAACAGGGTGCAGAAACCATTTTTAATTGCTTAGTTCTTGCAACGATTTTTACTATTTCATTTTGTTTGTTGTTTTTACCATCACATTGAAAATTGTTTCCATTATTACTCTTGCAGTTTTTTTTCAATCCATTTTTTGCCACTTTGACATCACAACTATTTGTTATTGTAACTATTTTTTGTTGCAACTAATCAACGCCCGCGATCGCTCTCAACATGCTGTGCAACACGCGACCTTCGTTCCACAAACGTCACAGCTGCGCTGATAGTAATTTAGAAAAAGATTCACAATCAGTTCGTATATATATATAAGGGTGACAGTTTTCCATTCTTCATTATGTTAATGTTTCGTTTTTCATTTCAATTTATTTTTCCTTTTTCATGGTCACCGTTGGTGAGGGTGGTTTGCTGGCATAAATGTGGGTTATTCCTATATAAAATTTGAGTTGTCCTTGTGCCAGAATTGATATTTGTAAACATTATAACAATTATTCATTCGCATTTTTGTTGTTGGCGGCGTCTGCCACCTTCAATCGACCTGCGTTTCGTAATTATATGGTTTCCTTTAAGCTTAAGTACCGTGTTCCTGTGTGAAATTGCATACTTTCTTTGCGCAGAAATCTAGCGACTATCGGTTTATTTCTATCGATTGTGTAAGGTCTATGAGAAAACCTGGTTCTAAATGGTTCCAGTGATGAATAAGGGCTTGCAGTTTCGAAAAGACTACCGAAAGCCTAAAGCAACACAGAGATGCACAAAAGTATACCAAAGAAGCCTTACGGAGACTTAGATAGCTAGACTGGTTTAGTACTAAGAATGGGAAAGAATCATAAACAGCAAAAATTACCGACATCAAGGCTAGAAGCATAAGTCGAGGTCGATAAAATCTACGTCGTAAAGTCGGTGAAAATACGGGGAACTAATTCGACTCCTCCTTTCACCGTCTGCCACCAGTTAGAAATACCCAGTGACAGCAGGTGGCTCACCACAAATTCTTTGCGAACCTTTTCTCTCGAAGTTTTACGAATCCGACTTATTGGTTTGATTTGAGCAGCGACATCTACAGACCTGGTTTAATCTCGGACGAAAAACCACGCATATTGCTGTTGAAGCTTAAAGTGTGCACTATTTTAGGCGCAGGATTTTGCAAAAAAAAACTGGTGTGAAGGCTTATAAAGTCGGAGAACTGAAGTGTGAAGTCTTGTCCATTTGATGCCACTTCGATTCACTCTATGAGCTGAAGATTGTTTGCCGGAAGATGAGCATTTTTACCGTAAACTAGTATTTTCCAAAGAAGTTCGTTTGCACTTCGTTGGCTACGTTAACAAGCTCTCGTATATGATGCTCAAAAGACCCACAAATAACCACGATGAAGCCAATGCATTCTCAACGAGTGACTGTTTGATGTGGCTTGTGGACCGGTCTTTCGTCCGTTTTACTTCCGTCTCTGTTACTGCGGCATGATCAGATATTATTTATTTCGAAATTTTGAACAGAGAAGCATGGAGACACAGCCATCAGCTACTTCGCCAAAATGACCAATTGAACAACTCTACAAACTAACAATTATTAAAACACCCTGTCTGATTACAAAATTTTCTTGAAACAACTCTAAAACTATGAAATTGTGAAAGGCATGCACTCGATGTACTTCAGGGGTAGCAAAATGCAATAAAATACGTCATTTTTGAACGTTGAAACATTTCAAAAATATAAAAATTATCCGCATATTTTTTATTTAAAAATGGTAGCTTTCTTAAGAGAAAAGGGGAGCACGAAAAATTCGAAACACCTTTAATGTCAAATAGCTAAGAGGGAATTAAATTGCGAAATTATGAATTAGTTTTTTTTTTTTCTTAAAAAGGGATTTATATTTTCTGCAAATAAAGGTCAAGTAAAAAGTTCGTTCGTTTCTTTTTTTATTGATTTTTCAAAATATGATAACTTTGTGTACATTTGTCAAATTTAAGTTATTGTTCGTAAACTTGTTGCCAGCGAGATGCCGACTATCAATATATCCCTCTCGTAGAAGGCTTCGTCCCTATGGGCAAAAAACTCGGAGAGCCAATATTCACAGGCCTCTCTTGAGGCCAACTTTTCACCATTAAGCGCGTTCGTCATGAACAGAAGAAGGTGACAATCACCTGTTGCCAGGTCCGGACTATTAGGTGGGTGCATTAGGACCTCCCATCCGGGCTGCTGGTGCTTCTGGCGCGTCACCAAAGACGTGTGTGGCCTGGCGTTGTCCTTATGGAACACAGTTCGGCCTCTGTTGATCAAAGATGACCTCTTCTGGATGAGTGCTGTCTTTAAGCGGTCCAGTTGTTGACAGTAAAGGGCCGGATTGAGCGTTTGGCCATATGGGAGCAGTTCGTAGTAGATGGTTCCTTGTCAATCCCACCAAACACACTGCAAAGCCTGGTGCATCTTTGACATCGAAATTACCGTAACGGAACCTAGCAAACCACTTTTGTGCTACACGTTCATATACAGTATCGGGCCCATAAACTAAATTATTTTTTTCAGCTGCTTTGGCTGCTTTTTCGCCTTGATCGAAGAAAAATTGTAAAATATAGCGAATTTTCTCTCTGTTGGTATCCATCATTGACGAGCGCTCACAACGTACTGAGTTAACCAATTGAAAAACTCTCAAAGACAAACTTTTAGAGCGAATAATCGCGTTTTCAGCGCCTATGTACTATGGACAATCTCTTATCTCTTAAAAGAAAACCGAACGAACTTTTTACGTGACCTATCATATTGATCTAAGGAAAGATTGAAAGCGAAAAATAATGTTCAAATAAAAAGAATAAAAAGAATAAATTTGCTGTTTCGGCAGTTTTTCGATCATTTATTTGGATTCTCATTATATGGATCGTTGAAAAATTCTCCTTGTTGATCTTTAGCCTCTCAGTTGTTCATATTCAACAGCAAAGCCATTAAACTGTAGGTATTCTTCATGGTCTGAAAAACAAAGTTAATAAACAATCCACAATCATAGGTAAAAAAAAAATACCAACATTCGTAAATATCTCCAAACTGATATCGAAAAAGTCAGCAGCACGCACGCGTAGCGGACGCTGCAGCATTGCCATATAAATCACCAAATATTTGCGCAAACCCGGCGAACAGCGAAACCACTCGGAATTGTAGGTGGCATTATTCAATGCGCTGGATTGCGCTATGACCTCATTGCCATAGTAGCAGGGTAAGAAGATTTCCAAAATCATAATCAAATTCACTTGAACAAATGTAAGAAATTGCATGGGATCGGATAAAATTGATAACTGCAGGAGAAAGACGAGACAAATAAAATAATGCATTGTATTTAAATTTAATGCCAATAAATGAGCACTTCACCTTCTGCAAGCGATAAGCGCTAAAGCAAAGCACAAAAGACGAGCACATAATTTGTATGAGAAAGGGAAACGAGATGTAGGTCTGGCACAGCCGAGAGAGACTGAAATGAAAATTGTACATAAGAAATTCCAAATTTGATTTCCATCACTAAAAACTCACTTCTTTATACGCGCATGCAGCTTCACAATGTCCACAAACTGTCTGTACAGCTGCTGCTCACTAAATCCCCGCGACACGGCTGTACCCGACCGTAATTCGCCCATACACTCCAGACGACCACAAATCAATTTGAAACACAATGACAATTGCAACAACATATAACACTGTATCATATCGAAACCATAATTGGCGAAGAAAGTGATGAGCATTGCCAGCAACTCATACAGGTAGGCGCACCAATAGCCATGCGGCGTATGCCAATTAAATGGTGGCGCGTACGGAAACGGCAATTCGTACTTCGCGCTAAAAAGTACACCAACGAATCCTGTGAACATGGCGCCAAGACCTATGAAGACATAAAATAATACTATACGAGCGTAAGTCCTTTGTGCATGCTGCCATTTTAGCCGCTCATCCTTTTCTCTGAGCTCAAAATACTTATCGCCGGAGAGTGTTTCGAAGAAGTCCACCAATAGTTTAGCGTAGAACCAGACGTTGAACAATTTCGCCACCATACCCAGTTCGGTTAGTGTCAAATACATGATATTTGTGAATTTCTCCAAATCTGTTGCATGTACCACATCCATGGCCATGAATATGGTGAACGGTATACTGATGGTGAAGTGTAGCAGGCAAGAGTAGAGTAGGTAAGGCATTTTTGCACTGCCCTCATAGTACCATAGGCCCAACAATTTCATTACTTGTATAATACGACGCCCGCCGCTGTTGTTATCATACTCCTGCAGATCCATTCTCAAGACTTGTATAAAGTTAACTGACCAAATAGCCGGTACCAAGCGTCTTTTAAGGATTCTGAAGCAGTCGCACAGCAAATAAAAACCGAAAAAAATATTATGTAAAATCCATATTGATAAATTAAATACACAACCCACAATTAAATCAAGGAAATTATGAAAATTGTTCTAAAAACTTTCTCGATAATTACTAAGTGATCACAAATTAATTGAAAAGTTTCAAAACCTGCTGATTAATTGTTCACAGTATAATCAATTATGAGCATTTATTTCTCGGTCACGAAAGAAATTATCGCTACAATTAACTGTAGCCCAAGGCGAATTGTTATCAATGCGTGCTACTACACGAAAGGTCATCGGTCCGAAATATGGGCTGACTCGTATTTAAATTTTATAAGCAAAAGCTTTCCTAGTTACGGTCACACCGCGGCACTAGGTGGCAAAGCTTTCGTGTGTCTTTCTGATATCAAATAAATGTATTCTACTACAAATTCCTCTGCAGTGCGGAGATAGCTTAGAATAAAATGCCCCCCCCAATTTGCTTCGAATAACATCAAGACATACACATTGAAGTGGGAGAGATGCTCGGGCGGGAATCGATTGTCTTAAAAAAAAAATGTCTGTGAAAGTTGTAATTTCAAGTAATATTTTTCATCAAGACACGTCTAAAAATTTTCATTTATTTAAAAATTTCACCACAGAAACGGTATATGCGCGTCAGAGACGTGACGAAAATATTATGTAGTTCACGGAGAGAATTCCACACCCAAAAATAGCGTGATTGAATCCGTTCCGGCAGTTTTAATGTCAAAGATGCACCTCGTTCTGGCCGGTCAGTCACTCAAAAAGGCGATTAAAGGGAGTAAGGAAGACCGGTAGGCAAGCTTCTAGTAGATGGCGGAGCCATAGGATACCACACGCGTGAGAGCTTGAAATTATTTAAAAAAAGCTGATACCAAAAAAGAAATTCGTGTGTGAGTTTCACATAAAAAATACGAAAAAAATTTGGCAGTTAACCAACCTAAAATAAGCCCTTGAAAAAAGCCTCAAATGTTTCATCATGATAACGTCAGACCACATGTATATTTAATAACCGAGCAAAAGCTTGGTTGGGAAATTTAGTCCGTACTTTACATCATCTGTTTGCTTCGGTTTTTAAAAAGTGTTTCTTTGGATAATAATAAATTTGGCCGACCGAAGTAGTCCTTAAAATGATTCGGCCATATTTTTCACTTAAAAACTAGCTCAGTATGCAGGGGATGAGAAACAGCTTCTGACGACGACCACTGTTCTTTGCAATGACCAAGTTTTAAGTTAATCTAAAATGCCGAGTCCCACAGTTCGCTTAGGTCTCAAACGGATCTGTTGTTATACCACTGATATCAAAATCACGGAGTTTATAAGGAGAAGGAGATACTTTTTAAAGAAATATACTAGTGCTGAATTCATATGCGGGGCAAGGGAAAATAATATTCCAGTTTTCAAAATAAGAAAACGTGTTTCGAATACCCGAGTGAATTTTAGGGAAAATTGAAAAAAAAACACATTTCCCAAAAATCGAATGATGTTATGAAAATTCACAGGACCATGCGAAAAACGATTAAATAAAAATCGCACTCAATTGAAAATAGAGTACAAAGAATTCACAACATATGTATTTATATACTTGCATACATACATAATACTCTATTTAAAACTAAAAACAAATAAATAACTCCACTGTTAAATGACCCAAAAATTCGTGGAATTAAAATGCGCTAAAATTACACAAATTCACACATGCGCTGATTAAGACCGCAAACAAAAGGCAAACATACTTACATGCATACATATGTACATGAAAAACATAAAAGATTAGCAATATGTACATATATGTATATGCGTATTATATGAAGAGGAAACCACGCTTATTTTCATTGCATGCATGCGCCGGCGCAATGAAGTGTGCAACGTGCAACCTAAACTAGTGGCCTGTGTGTGTGTGTATATATGTTGTAAAAACAACAATAACAAACGAATTGCCCGGATTTCCGCGTATGCATTTGCACAACTGACCCACACGCGGTCATTTGATGGCTTTGTTAGCCTTCTTTGTTGCCTTTGAAGGATATAAGCTACTGCTTGGCTACCACCAAATGAACGTCGATGCACTCTCGAGCATTGCATTATCAATGCTTTGACGCAAAATCATTCAATTGAAGAGACCATTACGAATTTTTGCTCAAGCGCTAATAGCCAGCTGGCGCTTAGATAATATTTTCGGGAAGTACAAATGCTATTGCCATTGAAGAGATTTATGGGCTGCGTTGTGGAGAGAGGGTAAATTAACAATGTTTTGGGTATCTAATAAAAGTACTCGAATGTGAAACAAATGAATTTTGCAAACAATTGTAGAATTACAAATGTATTTCACACACACACACACACGCTCGCGTGGTTCGAATTTGATTTTCACAGCTTTGGCGAAACTATTTGAAGTGCGGAGGGTGCGGAGAGTGCGTGCGCAGCACTGCAGTGCTAGAAAGGTGTGAAGTGTTGATTGTGGTGATCAGTGATTTTGGAAATACAACACAAATCTGAAAATCACATTTCGATTTTAATGCCATACATACGAAAGACATATGTATGTATGTACATGTAGATGTGTGCCTTTGTTGTTATTGCTATGTATTATATTTGCTACTTTTCTCTGCCTTTAAGCCGCTCAAATTTTCACCACTACAATTACCTATACATTTTGACGGTTAAGCGATAAATCTTGAAATTTCTCCTTTTGACATGTACAGATATACGAGTACACATACACACATAAAATGCCAAGAATTGTGAAAAAAAAATTGAATTCAATTTTCCCATTGCTGTCTGAGTACACTTGAGTACTTACATCGTAAAGTGCTCGTAAATTCATTGTTTTACAGCTGTTATGGGTGTGTCAAATAACGGTAAGGTAGAAATTAGTCTTTGCGAAGTACCTGGATACAGACTCAAATACATACAAACATACATATACTATACTGTAGGCTACCTCAAAGTTTGCTTTCTGACAGACTGCTTAATGACTGGCATACAGAGCCTCACGGAACATGTATAAATATCTGCGAGGGGGCTAATAAAAGTTCGGTAAGTTGACCAGAAGAAAAATTAAATTATTTTCGTATTTATTCGTAATCATCTCTACATAATTGCCATTCATTTCTATGCATTCCGTAAGCATATAGATCCACTTCTGAAGCTTGCTTTTTAAGCATAACAAGTTCAGAATTCACCGCGTTAATTATCTCCTAGTTGCTATTAAAGACTTTTCCCTTTAATTTTTATTTTATATATTTGAAAATAACCAGAAACCACAATTTGCTATATTCGAGCAGTGTGCGATGGCGCGTTGTCTTTATGCAAAAAGTAGCATCACAAATCCTCTTTCTTCCTTTCTTCCAACAAATTTTCGAAAACTTTTGGTGAGCACTCTTGGGTGTACTATTTTGCAGTTACCGTCTGACCCTCTTTCGGTGGAAAAGAAACTACTAAATGCACTTGAGCTTCTTTTTGGGCCGCATATAAAATTCGTGGTATCCATAGAACAGATATCTTCGGTTAACCCAGATGATTACTTAATATTTGCAATACAGCCATTGCATTGAAGTCAAATTCATTAGCAACCATTTCATGTGTCCGTCGAGGGTCTTCATAAATTTTGGACTTCTCCAGAGCTACAGTGACGTCATCAGTTAGTAGACCTTCTTGGGGCTCGTACTCTACGAATAAATATCCGGTCTGGAATCTTCGAAATCATCAGAAATAGTCCTTATTTTTAGATTTTACGAAAGCAAATTGAAAGTCACCAACTGAACGAACTTTTGTTAATCTCCTCGTATGTAGGTACTTACATATGTGCATATGAAACTTAAATAAGAATCTTTTAAAACAGTGAACCATACCAACATGCTTGAAGCATATTAATATCTAGAAAAATACATATTTATATACTAAGCATTAAAAAAAATTCCCTCTTCATTTCAGTCATAAAACTTAACCACAAAATTAAAAGTTGAAATAAAAAATTTTAAGAAATTAAAGCAATTACAAATAAATATTAAAACTTATCTGCCCTCACGACTGATAATGTGACGATATCGTAGCTCCTACAATTCCAGAGAGGTAAAAATATGAGGTAAGTAAAAAGTCATTTGTCTTCTTTATAATTATCTCATTCATATCAAACTATTGCCGTTTTGAATGCAATATGATCATGACGCTCTTACAGGAACCCTTGTGACACTATTGGGAAAAAATTTGGCACCCTTGATTATCGCATGCCTCCCTTGAGACCAATCCTTCACTAGTCAAACCATTCCCAATATGCAAGAGCAAATGGTAAAGACTTGCTGCATGGTCCGGAGTATGAAAAAGAGTGAATCTCAACCTCTAATCCAAGCTCGCAAAGCTTCTAGCAAGTCACTACCGATCGGTGTGTACTAGCATTGCTGTTATGAAATACAATGCTTCTATCGTTTACTCCTTTCAGACAGTCCAATTTTTGACAGTACACATCCGAATTAAGTGGCTGATTCCTTGCCAATCCCACCATACACACAGTAAAACCTTCCTTGCTATGAACCCCAGCTAGGTGACGGCTTGTGGCGACTCAGTGTCTTTTGATCACGACTATTTTTGCTTGACGTTGATGTAAGTGATATCTTTTTCTTCAACAGCCACCATACGGTTCATAAAGGGATTCCGCAGCGATACGCAGATGGATATTCAGTTCAAAACCAAAATTGTGCATAATTGACCTTTTCAGTATTAAGATCTTAAGCACCATTTACTGACTTGCCTTTTGGCCTTTAGCGAGAATATATATTCCATTCTAGGTGCCTTTGTAGATTCAAGGCTTTTTTTATGATTTTTCTGCTACCCAGGCATCCATGGTCTAAGACGGAAAGTCGTGAGCTGCCTGAGCGTGTATTAATGAGTGCATAAGTTCGTGCCCGATTTCAAGTGCAAATTAGAATTGAATTTTTTTGAAGAAAGCGCTTTTATTAATCAATTGTGTATTCGCCATGATGTTCGGCAATCCACTCCCAACGTTCAACCAATTTACGGATGCCTGATTCATAGAA